AAGGGCCTTTGAACCACTCTTAGTCTGACCCGTCACCCAGGACCTGTTTGCCTTGGGAGACCCTACCAGAGGCATATAGCTCCCGACAACATAGCTCCTAGGATCACTCGGGTACTCAAACCCCCTCCACCACATTAAGGTGGCGGTTCAAGGAGGAGGATGAATGGGATAAAACAAGCTTTTCTAGACTTTATGATTGGACAAAATTGATCACATTGATAACAAACAGTAATTTCATGAGCTTTGCGATGCCCAGCAAAATATATTCACTGTTTGACAGCTGCTCCATTCCCAATGATTGTGTATGGGGCAAAATTCTTAATGGGTTAATGTGTGTCACATGGTCAACCTGGACACTGCTAACATGCCAAAACAATTTCACATGCCAGGGTCAATCCTGGGGGCTTAGTGTCCCTCTCCCTGTTTTTTTTTTTTTTTTCTTCTAATCACCTCTGTACGTCAGCAAGTCAAGATCCTGGCAGATGTATAAACTCAGAGAATTTTTTTGGACATTAACAGCACCCAGATACACCATCTGGGGAAGCCAAGTTGGGAAGATTAATTCTGTAGGCCAACAGAAAAATACTAACTCATTAACACTGTTTGTTGTGTGTCCCTACAGATCTGGAATATCAAACAGATGATAAAATTAACACAAGAGCACTTAGAGGCTCTTCTGGACAAGTTTGGAGGAGAACACAATCCTCCCTCCATATATCTAGAGGTAAGACTGGTTTGGAAAACCAAACTAAATGTAACCAGTGGTGGAAGAACTACTCAGATCATTTACTTAAGTAAAAGTAGCAATAAAACTGTGTACAAATATTCCATTACAAACTCCTGCATTCAAAATGTTGCTTAAGTAAAAGTACAAAAGTATTAGCATCAAAACATAATTAAAGGACTAAAAGTAAAGTACTCATTATGTATTAAAATTACTGATGCATTATTGTGTACATCACACTTAATGTTGCTGCCAGTAAAGGGGGAGCTAGTTTTAACTAATTTTTATGCATTCATTTGAATTACTCCAGGGTAGACTGTGAATTTTCCACCATAGATCAGTGAGGTCTGATATTTTTTACTGCATTTTTGTATTAATATGGTTATGAAAGGTAACTAGTTGCTGAAGTTATAAAATAAATGCAGTGGAGTAAAAAGTACACTATTTGCCTTTAAAATATAGTGAAGCCAAAATATGAAGTAACAGAAGATGAAAATACTCAGGTACAGATGCCTCAAAATTGCACTTAAGTAGAGTACTTGAATAAATGTGCTTAGTTACTTTTCCACCACTGAATATAACTTTGCAGAATAGAAATGTTGTGATCTCGAGGTATTGAGTTTGTTGAGTAGTGTTTGTGTATGTTCCCTCTCAGGCCTATGAGGAGTACACCAGTAAACTGGATGCCCTGCAGCAGAGGGAGCAGCAGTTGCTGGAGGCCATGGGGAATGGTACAGACTTCTCCTGCTCTCCTTCTCCTGTGCCAGCCCTCCTGGAGGTCAAGATGGGAGGTTGTGGTGTTGGAGGTGGGGCTCAGGCCTTTCCCTCAGCCCCCAACACTCTGACTGTTCTGCAGACCCCGACGGATACCAGCCGAACCAACCCTCGTTCCCCCCAGAAGCCCATTGTTAGGGTCTTCCTGCCAAACAAACAGAGAACAGTGGTATGTCTAATGATACATTTGTAGTAAGAGTGTAACAGTACACAAAAATCGTGGTTCAACATATACGTCAGTTTTAAAGTTACAGTTCAGTTCATTTTCAGTATAGGGCGGCTGTGGCTCAGGAGGTAGAGCGGGTTGTCTCCTAACTGGAGAATTAGCGGTTCGATTCCCCGCTTGTCCAGTCAATGTGTTGAAGTGTCCTTGAGCAAGACGCTGAACCCCTAGTTGCTTCCGGTGATGACATCAGTGTGTGAATGTGTTTGGGAGTGCAAATGGGTGAATGGCCAAGCAGTGTGAAAGCGCTTCGAGTGTGCTCTAAAGCATGAAAAGCGCTATACAAGTTTAAGACCATTTACCGTTTTACCAAATGACAAAAAATACAAGTCATAAAACTGCTTTCCATTTAATATGAATTTATGTAAACATCAACTGTATTTTTTAAATGAAACATAAAATATATGTAGAAAAATGAAGTAGAATAAAAAAATGGAATACTGCTGCAAACTACTACTAATATGCTCCATTAGCCAGGTAAAAGCAGTTTAAATGATGAAGGAAGCAGCGTTTGTAGCACACTAACTCTTTCCTTGAAGCAGAGCTATTCACATTCATGTGGTGCCATTTCAGAGAAGTTAGCAAGTTTGACATGTTGCTAACTGGTCACCACTGAAAAACATATTAAATGGTGAACTGGAGCACAATAAACAACAAGTATGAAGAAAGCAGTGTGCGTGCACACTGCCTTTGTCTTATCCACCCCCATGTTATCCACCTGTTTTTGTCTGTAGTTGTATTTCTCTGAGAAGCCAAAGTGCTCCCAAAGAGGAGACCTAATGATAAGGGAGGTCCTCCTACCTCTGGCATCTCATTTACATTGGCTGTGACTTTCACTAGCCAGAGGCTTGGCTAAGCTAAGCGTGTTGTCAGTGTTTATCGCGCTCTGGTCCACCACTTAATATGTTCGTGTGGGAATGCAGAGTTGAAAAAATGCTCCAGATGCAAAACAAGCCTATTGTTACTATTAAGATTGCATTAAATACACAGCTGCACCAAACTTAAAGTCCTGTACTGTAAAGGTTCAGTATAAATATGAATGCCTTTACACCCTAATATGTAGTGTAGATAATTTTAATCGAGATTTTGATTTTCAAAGATTATATGAAACCAAAATTATGCATTTTGAAAATTTGTAATTTCAATTATTCCATAGGCCTTTAAGACATATATAGATGTTTTAAAGTTTTATTGGATCTTCGGCAGGGTTGCCTCAGGTTGCAATGACATCACTTATGTTGGAAGGAATTTATTGAAATTGTAGCATATTAAATCCTTTAGCTTGGTTTTACCAGCTGGATGAGACCAGCATCTTATAATTGTAGATTCTTTTAAGTTTCAGAATCAGATAAACGTACATTGGTTGGCTGATAATAATCTTCATCTTTCTCATACACAAAGAAGAAACATTTTTTTATTGACAAGCATACAGTATGTAGAGTGGTGCATTTTACACTGAAAGACTTTCCATTGTAGAACCAGTTTCTGAATAGCCTCATCTTTGACATGTCTGTGGTGACACTTAGCTGTGATAAGTTAGTAATGGACAGTTTATCGGTTTAGCTCAAAGAAGACATCTAGTTATCTTGTTCTTCTTATGGTAAATTCTTCTTGGTTCTTGACTGACATGCAAAGCAGAGAGCGCAGAAGAGCAGACAGGTCTACCATACTTTATGCTTCTGACACTTCATACACTGAGCAGGTTTGGACCATCCTAAATGAAAGTTGACAGTTGTGAGAGAAATGTGTACCACTAAGCTAATCTGAGCTGGTGTTTTTCAAAGGTTCTTTATTTAATTTATATTATTTTCCCTGTTTTGTTTCCCAGGATAGCAGTTTCTGAGTTGTGGTGGAGGGTTGCGTTGGAGTAGTCACGTATAGGTTTGTTGTTATACTACAGATTACTACTAATGTTGTGCTTGGAGTTAACTTGAAAGAGAGTTTGTACTTTGCAGATGTGATAGCTGGAGTATTTTTGCAGTTTGTGGTTTTGGGACAACAGTAAAAGCTGCTCTGAATGTGTGTTTGGATTCTATTTGTGTGTGTGTTTGTGTGTGTGTGTGTGTGTGTGTGTGTGTTGTGAGTGACTTCTCAGAGTTGCTCCAGCTTTTTCTCCTGTTTATTCTTGCCTCATCTGTGCCTTGTATGAAGTAGAAGATGGTTTGTGTCAGCGTTTATCCGGTCTGTTCTGAAAGAATCAAGTGCTGGGCAAAAGCGCATCACAGATTTTCTTCAAGATTTCCTGAAAGGACCTGGTTGTGGCAAATAGACAAATCCACCCTTTGCAACGCTGAGCTACGTGTATGTGGGGCCCATTTCCACAGTAGGTGAGCTGCTGTGAGAGTAACTCTGAAGAGCATGGCTGTGCTATGACCAGCTGCAAGTATCAACAGCTGATGAGGGGGGAAAATGCAAATATTGTTATATATCAACCAACCAAACTAAAGTTACAGTATGTGTAAGATAATGTTCCTAAAAGGCCACATTGATTTCACCTAGGCTACAGTATAACGGTGTCCTTCACACATATATGGTTTTTTATACATTGTAAATACCTCCACAAATTCGATGTCTGGCATTATTATAATTCTCTCTGTTTTAGGGATGGGCATATCAATACTCTGGTATCGATACCGCCTGTCGATATTTTGGAGTCAATACTTTTTTAAATATCGCCACTGTGCTAATGCCACTGTTCATATGCTTGTACTGATACCACTGTGCTAATACAAAACGTGCAATGTGTTTTCACTTCTGACAGTTTTAGGTATTAAATTTATGTGTGAAAACCAGCCTGGGCATATTTTAGATGGGCTTCCATGTCACATGATTATGGCAGCAGCCTATCAGATGTCAGAGCCAAAGGTTTACTGTGCAGCCTCAGTCAAGCACTGCCTCAATCCTTACTTTGCTGCTCAAAGTGAGCTCAGCTGGCAGCACAGCGGTGCGGCAGCATGGATGGCCAAGAGAGAAAAAGAAGCGTAGTGTGGTGCTATTTTTCACCCACGACCAAAGGAGCACCATGTGCTCCATCTGCAATAAAGTGGTGCCACATAGCAGCAACACTAGCAACCTCTTTAAGCATTTAAAAACAACACACCCTGACACTTTTAAAGAGGCTGAACATTGCTATGAAGACATACCAGCAAGCCTCAAAGTCCACTGCACCACCTGTTGTACATCAGAAGAAATTGCAGGAGAATTTTATGAAAGGAAAAGAATATACAGGTACAGGTGACAGTTAATGTGTTATAAGTGATTTAAAAATTGAACCAACTTTGTTAAACTACCCCAAATATGCAACTGAGCTACTTAAATCTTGGACGAAGCCATGTTCACCACTCTTTCATTTAGTTGACAAACGTAAAGGTTCATATGCTTGTACTGTGTGTATCAGAAAATATTGACAAACAGTTTTGTTTCTAGAATATTATAAACTGAAGTAATGGAAGTCATTTTCCTTTAAGGGGCAAAAAGTATCGGTATTGGTATCAATGGAAAAGTACCATAAACTAATGGTATCGTTTCGAAAGGAAAAATGTTGGTATTGCCCATCCCTACTCTGCAGCAATTGAGTACAAATCTGGTTCTGCTTAGAAAACATACATCAGACTTCTAGACTGTATCCCTCCGCTGGAGCTTGGTGAGGAACTGCTTTCTGGGAAACTAAAAAGGAAGCTGGTCTTAAATAGTCTCTGATAAAATGGACTTGAATTAGCGTAGTGGGGCAGCTGAAGCATCATTTGAGCCTCAGAAGAACCTTAGACTTATAAGTTAAGTGTTCCCAGGTTTTATGTGGTTCGGTTGAGTTTTGTGTGCTATGCTGTTCCCCAGCTGTGTTAATAAAATAGCAGCTCCCACAGAGTGCAGAAAAGGCAGACTGCTCTCCAGCTCCTTCTTCTAGCTGGCCTCTATTGCACTGGTGTAAGAAGTGGGACGGGGAAGAGCTGAGGTAGCCGAAAGAAGCGAGATGAAGCGCGACCTGAAGCAGAAGGCCTCGCAGCTGCCTACCAGCCTGCTCTTGGTGGGAGCCAACCAAAATGAGACCGCTGATGGAGCCAGTATTCCCTGCCAGGCAAGCCAGAGGAACCGCACCCAGTCATCACCTCCCTGGCTTTGTGCAAACCCAGAGCCAGCACCAGCTAGCCAGACAGCTAATCCAGTCAGTTTGTGCCTGAGGTAGAAGGCCCAATCCCCACCTCGATGACAACCTGACCAGAAGGCCGTGTGGCAAGGGCATCTGGGAGTCATACCTTCCTTAGTTCGAACTGTTGGCTGCTGCTGTCCACTGGTTGGAGGAAGCGACGGTTCTTTGTCGTTGACAGAGAATTCCCAGTCGTGCCTCCTGTTGTTGAGCCCGGACAAGTGGAGTGATTACGGAGCCCTGGTGAGTGTGCTCCAGAGACACTTTGGTGAACTGGACCTGCAATATGCCCTGCACAGTGAGTTTAAACACCGCACCTGGCCGGTGCCAGGAGAATCTCTTTGCGTTTTGGCCAACAACATCAAGAACCTGGGCTGGCATGCCTACATCTCCATTCCACATACCATCCAGAGTGAGTTGGTGAGAGATCAGTTTGTCTAGGTCTTCATCCCTGAGCTTAGACTGCACATGCAGCTGGCCCACCCCAGAACCTTGGGTGAAGCCCTGAAGCTCACCGTGGAGTAGGAAGCCGTTACCTGTGCACTGAGGCGGGGCTCTATGCCCTGAGTCATGGCTGCTGCATGGTGTGGCCAGCCAGAGA